CCATCCCTCGTAATTCTAGGATGACCTGCCCTGCAAGCCTTCGTACCTTTCAGTTTTCCTAATGTCCTTTTTTGAGGTAGGAGCTGGAGGATTGGCTGCATATTCTAGGACTGGTATTATGTAGCTGGTGGGCAATGTTATGAGTACTTGGATTGAGATACACGAAGGCTGTTCAGATGTTTGTTTGGACAAGCAACCCACACACCTGAAAATAACGGTAGTGGCGACTTTTCGGTCCGGCATGGGGCGTTGTCAAGTCGTGTCCGTTCTGGGACGTTGTCAAGTTCGTCCTTCGCCGTTGTCAAGTCGTGTCCGTTCTTGGCCGTTGTCAAGTCGTGTCCGTCCTTCGCCGTTGTCAAGTCGTGTCCGTCCTGAGCCGTTGTCAAGTCGTGTCCGTCCTGAGCCGTTGTCAAGTCGTGTCCGTCCTGAGCCGTTGTCAAGTCGTGTCCGTCCTTGGTCGTTGTCAAGTCGTGTCCGTCCTGGGTCGTTGTCAAGTCGTGTCCGTCCTGGGCCGTTGTCAAGTCGTGTCCGTCCTTGGTCGTTGTCAAGTCGTGTCCGTCCTGGGTCGTTGTCAAGTCGTGTCCGTCCTGGGCCGTTGTCAAGTCGTGTCCGTCCTGGGCCGTTGTCAAGTCGTGTCCGTCCTGGGCCGTTGTCAAGTCGTGTCCGTCCTGGGCCGTTGTCAAGTCGTGTCCGTCCTGAGCCGTTGTCAAGTCGTGTCCGTCCTGGGCCGTTGTCAAGTCGTGTTCATCCTTGGCCGTTGTCAAGTCGTGTCCGTTCTGGGCCGTTGTCAAGTCGTGTCCGTCCTGGGCCGTTGTCAAGTCGTGTCCGTCCTTGGCCGTTGTCAAGTCGTGTAATGAAACAATGACAGAGAACTTGGATATTAAGGCAAAATGTGAGATGAAAGATGAGAAGGTTGAAGTATACCACAGAAACTGAACTATAGATTAGGTATACTATAGGAGTTAATAGTAATAAAGAAAACGGCAGGAGGCCGCTTTCGAGTATGGCTCCGACGGTATACTATTTATATGTGACTCAGCTGTAAGACTTGTCATGTTGACCAGACCACACACTAGAAGGTGAAGAGACGACGACGTTTCGGTCCGTCCTGGACCATTCTCAAGTAGATATATGACAAGACTTGTCATATATCTACTGCAAAGTCTTGCCTTTATTTGTTTCACGAACGTGGTTCCTCGTCATTGTATACCGTTCTGCTAGTTCTTAACTTATTTTATATTACCTTACACATACTGGTATTGAATTCTAGTAGCTTTCTCTTGTACCAATGTTGCAGCCCGTCTAGGTCTCCATGCAGTATTCTGCCATCTTCCTCTGTCCTGAATCCTCTCAGTAATTTTGCATCATTCACAAATATTGACCTAAATGAAGACTATCATAGGCTCAGGAACAAATCCTTTGGGAACTTTCCATGCTGCTCTATACCAGGCTTCTCGCTCCTGACCATAATTCGGTCTCCAGGCCTGTTGTATCAACCCGTCCTCTTAAAAATAACGTCACTTTTGGCTCGTATGCGCGCTATGGCCAAAAGTGGACGTAATTTGAAATGAAATCGAATCACAAAAGTGACGTACTGTCCCGTCTTCTGTTTGAGTCGTCCGGCTTACTCGGAAAGGTTAGGAGAGGAAACTTTCAATTAACGTTTTTCATAGTTGATACACTCAACTGTATCGGTGCTTCCCCGGTTACTCCCGCCTGCTACTCCAGTTTCTATAGTAGTGTTGTTAAGTAGAGACTGTGCCAAAGACTTACTGGAAGTCTAGAAAAATACAGTCTGTCTTGCCCTGTGTTGTAGTTACCTATATGACCTGTACAGGTCATACATACACGTCATACATAGAGGTAGAAGGGGGGGGGGGGATGAGAGGTAGAAGACAAGGGGTATAGAGATGGGAAGGTGTGTGTGTGGAAGTCTTGACTACTGACAGAAGTCAAGGCAGTCACTTCCAACTAAGATATTAAGGACACACGGCTTGAATATTAGTGAAATAAAACATATATCACCAAAAAGGCTATGAGGCGAGGCCTCCAACAGCTCGTCCTCGCTTCCCCGTAGTCTGTTAGGGAAGCACTGATAGGACTGACCTGGCCGCGGGGCGGAGCTGCGCACACAGTTGGCGCAGCACCTGGGGACACGCCGCTCCACACTCCTCCAGCGCCGCCTCCGACGCCTCCAGCTGGTGCGCCTCCGATCTGTCAACACGACGCACTAAATAGACTACCAACCGTTGTTGTTGTTATAGATTCAGCTACTCGGAACAAGTTCCAAGTAGCACGGGCTATGGTGAGCCCGTAACTTACCTGGCACAGGAGCGGGGCAAGTAGCACGGGCTATGGTGAGCCCGTAACTTACCTGGCACAGGAGCGGGGCAAGTAGCACGGGTTATGGTGACCCCGTAGTGGACTTACCTGGCACAGGAGCCGTGCTGTGTGCATGCCAGTGTTCGCTATGCTTATGGCCACAAAATACCTGATAATTATCACATCGGATTTTATGATAATAGAGACGCATCGTGATTATGAGAGTCACCCACGCCCTCATAGAAAATGGAGGCTATGGCTTCATCACCAGCGGTAACTCATGCAAAGTTTATTGCCAGATTATAGTCTGGAACAGAAAGCCTATTATGCTTAATGTGGTCCCCCTAGACAAGCTACTAACCATTCCTAAGATGCAACCCACAACAGTTTAATAACTCTTATGTGTTTGTTTGCTGCTAAGTGAACATAACAGGTGCAAAGAAACACCTAAACCGTTTCGTCCTCGGGATTCGAACTAAGGGCCAAACGGTTGAGCCGACTATGCTAATCACTTCGCTGCGGCTCAGTACAAGACAAGTCTGCAAAGTTATTTAGTTATATTACCTATGGGGGGAATTCAGAGGCTTTTCGTAGGTATTCGACTCACAATCCCAAGACCTACTAAATTCTATTTAGTTGAAAATCATCAAATCAGATTCAACTTTAAATAGACAATGTTAATATTACCAATAAAAAGGAGGGGAAGTTCCTTGGCCTATACATAGACAAGAGACTGAACTTCAGCACCCATATATAACACATAGCCAAAAAAGTCTCAAAAGCTTTTTTGGCTATAACACATAGCCAAAAAAGTCTCAAAAACGGTCGGTATAATTTCTAAAATCAGATATTATGTTCTTCACTCTGCTCTCCTCTCATTATACTACGCACTAATCTATTCGTATCATACATACGGTACCTATTCATGGGGTTCAACCACTGCAAATTACCTCAAGCCTATTATCATTCAGCAAAAATCTGCTATCAGAACTATAACAAACTCTGTCTTCAGGCAACACAGAGTCCCTTAACATGCTAAACATACACTCACTCCACACCTATTTATTTATTTATTTATTTATTTATATACATGAAGGTACATTGGGTTTATGAGAGTAAATATCATTGATGTTTTTACATTCTTGTAAACCAATAACACGCATAGCGTTTCGGGCAGGTCGTTGATGTAACAAATAATTTTAAGTAGGTAATTTTTAGCAAAATTGAAAAATGTTAACAGGTACATTGTAAGAAAATTTGACGAAGATTAGTAGATACATTATGGTCAAATTTCAGGCTTATTAACAGGTATATTGTATCATAGTTTGAGGATTATTTTTAGGTATAATGTAGTAAAATATGTGTTCAATATAGCAATCATGATATAAGATGTTACCAGTGATTACAATGAAGTTGAATGGCTTAGGCACATATACTGGGGGAGTGGGTAGCACAATTCTCATGTGCTATCTACATTTACAAAACCTTGTTCCTAAATGCATTTCCTTGACATATGTAATAGAACCCATGAGCACCACACCAGAAATAAATATCTCTTGATATCCCCAGAGTCAGACTAAATCTGTGCAAACACTCCATGCATATAAATGAGCCCAGTCTTTGAAACTCATTCCCTGATGAATTAAACAATTGTCCAACCCATCCCATGTTCAAAAATTAAAACCAAAAAGAACCTAATTTCATCCTTATAGATTCCTACCCTGTGGTTCAAACTCACACTGTATCTTGTACTACCCACTTTCCCAATATTAGTTCATAAGACATATAGCCTTACTAGTGCAATC